TCGAATGTACCTTTGAGTTCACTCAAATCTCTCCATGGTTTGAACAGAAGAAGCAGCGAGTAAAAGTATTTTTCGGGCTCAGTTTTTATATTAAATCGATAATGGTTAATTAAATAACCCTTTTTTCGTTTTTTTTAAAATAAACCCGATGCCAGTTTGTAACACTTGACTTCGTCATTATTTGGCATCTGTTTCGTAATTTCCCAGAATCTGGCAAAATCGTACAATTCAATGATTCTAATTCCTGAGGTCTATTTGGATAGTAATCATCGATGAGTGACGAACAGTAAATATTCGTAGAATTTTCATCGAGAGCTTAAATTTCATTAAATGTTTTAACTTTTCTATTTCTCACCTCATTAACATCGATCCATTTGACCATGGTATCATTATCCGTACCGTACAAGGGATTCCCTAATAGTGTATCCGCAGCTTCTAAAGCACCGCATTCTCTGTTATTTAATGAACGCATTGCAAAATTCCACAGTTTCGATGCCAAGGACTTATTCGAATCTATCACTTCAAAGTCTGTATTGCATTTTTCCGACTTTGTCGTGTATTTTGTTAAATATGAGTTTAAAAACTCTGATTTTTCTCAATAAATTGTATGTCCATATTTCCCTCCCAGGCTAATTTGATAGCCGGATTATAATCATTTATAAACCTTTCCGACTCCTTGCGAGGAAGATCGTACAATCTGCTCTTACTGCGTAAATTTTTTCTACCGACTATCGAAGTGATAACGTCTCTTAAAACGAAATTCTCAGTAACTGGCCGAGGAAAATCGAACCGACACTTTCTGTATATATTAGTTTCCGTTTTTTTCGTACGCATGCAATACGAGTTATGTTTATGATTCTGATCACTTATTACCGTATCGTACAACGTTGGCGAAACATTTTCATCTGGAATTTCACACGTTACGTATTTTCGAATAAACGTAGCAACTTCTTCATCCGGCGATTTTCCTAATACTGGAGCATCTTTTATCCAAATCATACAATGCATGTGCTGAATACCTCTACTTTGATATTCCAGTCGCCAGAAGTAATGAATAACCTTTCCTATTGGATTATCGGACGAACAAATAAAATCAATCATGGCTTTGAATTTTATGCACATGAATCTAGAAGTACTTACAGGATCGTATGCGACTAGTTCGCTGATGCCTAACTTCTCTTTATCGGGATTCATATCTCGTAAATATTCACCCAAATCGGACCATTTCCATTCACTAGGACTCAAAGTCAAAAACCACGTCGCTGGACCGTAATGCAAAGTCATGCATTTTACATTATTGGACGGTTGTCGCCAAAATTGATCCGTATTTCTCAATTTTGCGAAAATACTCATTAAATTCGATTCTAATTGGTAACCTTTCAATTCGTTCAAGTATCTACCAGCAGTGTATCTCTCTCGTGGGTTAGTAACCATCATCGTATAATAGATACCACTTTTCAACTGTCGGTAGTTAGCATCATTGAGAAGGAAAAACAGATACTGCAGATTCAACCTGAATCTACTATGTTTCGACATCAATCGTGTTCTAATAAATAAATATTCCGGCAATGCAAAGTTTCTATCTTCTCGTTGTCCATTGACACCATCAGGATATAAATCAGGGAAACACATGACATCCAGATATTTATAACGATTATCCATTGGAAAATCTTCAATTTTCACCATTTGATAAAGCTTCAATGCAGATTCGTTATCGATTCTTTTCGCGTGTATTGGGTATATTGTATACTGATCGTTAATATCCGAATGTTCAGTGATTTGTGTGAGAAAAGCCCTACGTTTTAAAACGGTTTGATCATTATTATTTTTGTTTTCCTGTACATTGTACAAATTCAATGCTGGTAATTCCTCAACCACCTCATTTATTTCGTCATTGTCGCTTTCCTCATCGACAATCCGATATTCTGTTTCCTGCAACTTATCCTTTAATAGATCATCAGATGACGCTGGAAGACGAATTTTTGAGTAATGAGGATTATTTTCTTTCAACCATTGTAAAGCCTTATACATTTTATTAATATCTACCAAATTTTCCCAAACCACTTTAGATTTCTTGGGTATACCTCGAACGAGAATGTGCAACTCGTGATTCAAATTTATAGGATCTTCCGGAGGACATACCTTATCCAATGTTTCTTGTAAAGGCAGAGGCAAATGAAATGTTCTACCTTTCCTAAACAGAGTTTGATTATATAAGTTTCTTGATTTAAAATGTGCTATATTTAAATCATTTAATTATTTTTTTCGTTCAAGTACAATTAACAGCAAAAACTGCATATACGTAGGTATGTATTTGACTCTACTGCCATTACTTGAAACAAATACATTATTCGATATTAACAAATTGGAACTCTGGAATTACGAGTAATTATTTTTCATTGTACAGACTAGGTTTAAATTTTTGAGGACCTTCTTTTGAACATGGCTTGACCTTTTCATTTTTATGATTTTTTGGAGATAGGGTGAGAGAGGACGAATGAGGGTAAGAGAAGACGAGATAGGCGAAAAAGGGTGAAAGAGAACGAAAGAGGGTGAGAAAGGACGTACGAGGGTGAAAGAGGTGAGAGAGGGTGAGAGAGGACGAAAGAGGGTGAAAGAGGACGAAAGAGGTCGAAAGAGGGTGAGAGAGAACGAAAGAGGGTGAAAGAAGACGAAAGAGGGTGAGAGAGGACGAAAGAGTGTGAAAGAGGTCGAAAGAGGATGAGAGAGGGCGAAAGAGGGTGAGAAAGAATGAAAAGGGTGAGAGAGGACGAAAGAGAGAGAAAGAAGGTGAAAGAGGACGAAAGAGGGTAAAAGAGGGTGAGAAAAAATGAAAGAGGGTGAGAGAGGACGAAAGAGAGTGAAAGAGGACGAAAGAGGGTGAAAGAGGACGAAAGAGGGTGAGAGAGAATGAAAGAGGGTGAAAGAAGACGAACAGATTGAAAGAGGGTGAGAGAGAATGAAAGAGGGTGAGGAGAGACGAAAGAGGGTGAGAGAGAATGAAAGAGGGTGAAAGAGGACGAAAGAGGGTGAAAGAGGACGAAAGAGGGTGAGAGGGAATGAAAGAGGGTGAAAGAGGACGAAAGAGGACGAAAGAGGGTGAGGTAGGACGAAAGAGGGTGAAAGAGAACGAAAGAGGGTGAAAGAGGACGAAGGGGGTGAGAGGGATGAAAGAGGGTGAAAGAGGATGAGAGAGAATAAAAGAGAGTGAAAGAGGACGAAAGAGGTGAGAGAGGGCGAAAGAGGTGAAAGAGGGTGAGATGGGACGAAAGAGGGTGAAAAGGCGAAAGAGGGGCGGGATTGTGTGTGGGGTGGCGTGGGGGGTGGGGGTGGGCGGGATGTGGGTGGGAAGGGTGGTTGGAAGTTGAGGGAGGTGTGAGTGAAAGGTGAGAAGAGATTTATACGCGGACAGAGAAGAAGAAGAAGAAGAAGAAGAAGAAGAGAAGAAGAAGAAGAAGACGACGACGTTACTTCATTTTTCATGAAAAACGTCACTTTTTGACCGCTTGTATCTCCAGAACGGCTTGACCGATTTTATTTTTTTTGGCTCAAATTACTCGTGGCGATGCCGCCTTTCAGGTTATATTACGTGCAATTCAAAATTTTTTATATTTTAGTAGTTCTACACCCCCAAAAATGGACTTTGATGGTGCAGGATAAGGAGACTTGTAGTGTCTTTTAAGGTCTTTTAGGGTTTGAACATGGCCGGAGACACTACCGCGTCTCCTGATATATATATATATATATATATATATATATATATATATCTCTCTCCCCTGCTTGATTGTTCTATTTTCTTTCATTCCTATTTGTTAGTCATATTCCTTCTTTTCTCTCTACATGAAGATAAATTATAATATTGCTGACAATTGATCGCAATTTACAACTATTTATGAATAAAATTAGAAATCGAAAAAAAGTTCGATAATTATATTATAATACATATATACTTTATCAATTTGTATATATTAAATAAATATTATGTTATATATATTTAAAATTTGTTTGTATTTTTTATTTGCAGTAATAATCTTTCTGACAATAGCTATATATAAATCAATAAAAAGATTCATTACATTTCAATATACTTTTATTATTATTATATATATATATATATATATAATTGGTATGTATTTTTTACATTTATAGTAAGAATAATCTTATAACAATTGATCAATTTATTGCTCTTTACGAACTAAGAATAAAATTCAGTAAATCAAATATGCATGCTTGTTGCGTACGCGAAGTGGGTTCCCCTTTTTTCTTTTTCGCGTTGACCGCGGACGCCGGTATCGCTCAGAGAGAGCGCGAAGGAAAGAGCAGCTGACAGGAGAACTCTCGAGAGATATCACTCCGAATGCAGAATCACAAAGTAGTTTATTTGTCGATTACACGTTCAGTCTTAGAAGTTATGTTCGAATTACTCAACCGATCTGTAGTCGTTCTGATTATCGATGTCGTTGACTTCACAATTTTTCGAGGAGTGAACGCTCAGAGTCGGGGCGTTCTTCGCCGAGGCGCGAGATTTCGACACGACCTCTTGGAGGGGACGCTCGTTTTTTCGAAGAATCACGATTGGCCGGTATTGATTTCCGATCGAGTGAAGGAACCGAAATCACGCGGTCAACGGCTGATTGCTCCGATCGATCAATATTGTTAACTGCTGTCCTTGCCTCGCTGGCGGGACATAACAAATTTGTTTTGAAAAAGCGGGTTCTTACCTCTAACGTTTATTTTTGACTTACAATTAATTTGACACGAAATTACCCTTCAATTATTTGTCTGTTTCTCAACATACCGCCCACCTCGAAACAATAGTTTCGAAAAAAAAAGATGCGAGTGACTCATGAGGCAGAAAAGATTTCGAGTAGAATTGAGCGAGGCGTTCGGCCTGTCGAGGCGAGACTTGACATCACTTGTCGGCGCTTTCCGACTTTTCAATATCGATCGGCAGAAGGCACAGTCTACCGATCGGACGCTTGTACTCGGACGACGCCGTTTTACCGTAACAACGCGGACCAATTCGTCGAGACCCGGTGACACAAAACAACGCGGCCGAGCTCCCACTTGCACGGTGGAAGCAGAAGATTGCGAAGCAAAACCAATTGTCCCACTCGAATATTTGGCTTCTTAATATGTCGCCATTTTCTCCGCTGTTGCAGCATGTTAATATAATCGCTCTGCCACAACTTCCAAAGACGTTCGGTGAGCTGCCGAACCAACTGCCATCGAGATAGGCGATTTTCTTTTACCTGTAACAGGTAAGGCTCCGGACTCGAGTTAAGAGCGGCACCAATGAGAAAATGCCCGGGGGTCAGCGGATCGTATGTATCTATCGAGTCGGAGAGCGGCGCTATGGGCCTAGAGTTGAGGCAAGCCTCGACGTTACAAAGAAGCGTGGAGAATTCTTCGAACGTCAGCGTGTGCGCTCCAACCACCCGGCGAATGTGGTGCTTCACGCTTCGTACACCGGCCTCCCATAGGCCGCCAAAATGAGGGGCGGAGGGAGGCAGAAAATGCCACTCGACATTGTCCGAAGCCGTCCTGTTCAAAAAAACGGGATCGCGAAGAGCCGCTCTAAACGCGAGTGTGAGGTCGCGGTCCGCTCCGACGAAGGTGGTCCCGTTATCGGAGTACACCGCCGTCGGAAGACCCCGTCGAGCCACGAATCGCAAATAGGCCCCAAAAATGCCGGAGTGGCGTACCCCTCGACCAACTCCAAGTGTACCGCGCGCGTTGCCATACACACGAATATAACGATGTAGGCCTTTCGGGAGGCCACTCCGCGTCCAGACATCGCTCGAACAAGTATCGGGCCAGCATAATCCACTCCGCAATGAATGAATGCGCGCGCGGGAGGAGAGACTCTGCATTGCGGGAGGTTCCCCATAAGTTGTGTCGGGACGGCAGCTCGCTCGCGAGTGCACGCGACACACCGATGGATGACCGATCTGACCGCCACCGCGAGCTCGGATCACCCAGTACCTTCGCCGCAGCGTAGCCAGGGTGAGCTGGATGCCGGCATGGAGATATCGCTTGTGAATATCCTGTATGAGGAGCTGGACGAGAGGATGGGGCGCGAGAACGATCGGATGTTTGACGTAAGCCGGGATGGGCGCCCGCGACAACCGCCCACCAACACGAATTATTTGATCTTCGTCCAAATACGGCGCGAGAGGCAACAGTACGCTTTTCGATGACAGCGCGTCTCCCCTTCGAAGCGCGGTCAGCTCGCGCGCGAATAGCTCCGCTTGAATGGTTTTTACCCAAAAGTTCGTCGCGCGTTGAATTTCGTGACCCGTCAAGGATGAGGGACTCTCGACGCGCTCAGCTGGCAACGTGATACGTCCGCGAGTACGCGAGATAAATCGCATAACGTAGGCGGTAATGCGCAGTAACTTCGTCCACGACGAGTAGCGCGCGGCGAGATCCCATACGACAGGGTCTCTCGATATCGCGACGAGAACCTGCGTCTTTACATTTTGTTCCATTGAGGTCTCAGGGTGAGGGTCGACAGGCACCGGCCAGTCGGAGATCGGAAGCCTAAGCCACAATGGACCATGCCACCACAACGGATGGGATGCGAGCTGATGCCCGGGAATTCCGCGAGACGCGCAGTCGGCGGGGTTGTCGATGGTGGGCACGTGTCGCCACGAAGCGGAGGGAAGTCGGGTCTGGATTTCCGCGACGCGATTTGCCACGAACGTTTGCCACCGTGACGGATGTTGCGTAACCCACGCAAGGACGACCGTGGAGTCCGTCCAGCAGTAGCACGGAACCTCGGAAAGGTGGAGAGACGCGATCACGAACTCCATTAATCTGGAGAGCAGCACCGCCGCTGCGAGCTCCAATCGCGGAATGCTCAGCGATTTAACGGGTGCGACCCTAGACTTTCCGACGAGGAGCATCGAGGTGACCTCTCCGGAGATCGAAAGAAGCCTCAGATAAACTACGGCTGCATACGCTTGAGAGGACGCGTCCGAGAACCCGTGCAGCTCGCAGGCCGTTGTATCCGATCCGCGTCGAACCCATCGATCGAGCTGAAGGCCATCAAGTGACAGAAGTGACGCCCGAATAACTTCCCACTCATCAGCGAGGTCGGGGGAAATTGGTCATCCCAGTGAGCTGTGATTGCCACAGTCGCTGAAGAAAGATTTTTGCCGTTATTGTGACCGGAGCACTCCACCCCAACGGATCGAATATTCGCGCGATATTCGAGAGAGTCGATCTTTTCGTTATCGAGACGGAGGGAGGGCAGGAAATGCGGAATTGAAATACGTCCTTAGCGGGGTGCCAGCATATCCCAAGGACTTTAACCTTTTCGCCTGGTTGAAGGTCCTTGCTGCATGCCAAACCGTGATCGCTGTCATCAATGTCGCTCAGAAGAGCCGACGAGTTACTGGACCACTTGCGCAAATTGAACTGGCCGCAGCGCAGCAGTGAGCACACTTGCTCGCGCGCCTGCCGAAGCAGAGGGATATCGTCGGCGCCGAACAAGACGTCGTCAACATAAATGTTATCCGTCAGGACGGACACGGCTAACGGATAGGAATGTCCTTCATCGCGGACCAGTTGGCGCAGCACTCGTAACGCCAAAACGGCGCCGACGCCATGCCGTACGTCACGGTCAAGAGCTCATATTCCTGCACGCGCTCCGTCTCGGTATCCACCCATAATATGCGTTGATAATTTGTGTCACGCGGATCAACGACGATCTGCCTATACATTTTCTCGACATCGGCCGAGTATACGTAGCGAAACTGTCGCCATCGCATCACGACCGCCGCCAAGTCCGTTTGTAGTTTCGGTCCTGGAAGTAAACTATCATTAAGCGATTTCCCGCTAGACGTTAGACTCGACGCATTGAATACCACGCGCAAGTGTGTGGTCGCACTACCGTCGCGAAAGACGGGATGGTGAGGAATATACACGCACTGAGAGGATTCTGAGAGAGGTGAGGCTTTGCGCATGTGTCCCAGAGCTTCGTATTCCCGCATGAAATTGAAATATTGTTGTTTTAGCTCGGCGTTAATTTCAAAGCGTCGAAGTAAGCCTTTTAGACATCGCTCAGCGGTATCGCGAGAACGACCGATATTAATGGAGGATCACGTTTGAATGGAAGGCGCACAATGTATCGGCCGTCGGAACAACGCGAATGAGTGGTCATGAAGTAATCCTAGCATCGTTGTTCCTCCGGGCCGAGTACAGTCTGTCGCGGAACTTCCTCGATCTCCCAAAATCTTCTCAGTTCGCGATCGAGCGCAAGCGACGTTGAGGCCGAACAATGTTGAACAGTGATTGTTCGGCGGGATTGAAGTGAAACATTCGTAGGGCCGGATACTGCCCATCCAAAAATAGTATTTAATGCATAGGGCTGCCCGCGAGGTCCCTTCCGCATTTCGCCAAGGAATATCTCGCCATAGATATCGGCGCCGATGAGGAGCTCAATGGGATCAGAACCGTTGAAGTGAGGATCTGCTAGGGCGAGATCCGCGAGATGATCCCAGTTGCACCTGGCCCGATCGAGCCCCGAATTGTAATCAGCGAGTGACGGCAAAATCGACGCAGTGATTGTGAGACTCGGCTCTGATTTATTTTGCGGCGAGATCGTAATTTGAGCTGCAAACTTGCAGTTACCCGCTTTAAGACCGCAGATGCAGAGAGTGAAAACTGATCTTGGAAACGACGCAGTCTTAAGGTTTGTGCAAGTCGAGCGGACATGAAAGTTATCTCCGATCCCGGATCGAGCAACGCTCGCACGTTAGCGTCGCGACCCGCCGGTGAACGAACCGTGACTCGCGCCGTCGCAAGGAGCACCGGAGTTCGATGCGATAATTCTTGCGAAGCAAACAACGCTACCGCGCCGCGATTACTTCTCGCTTCGACCGGCGAATTCGATTCAGCAGTGACCACCGAGGCGGTAGCGCATGAGCCCGAATCAACATGGAGCATCGAATGATGCCTTTTCTGGCATCGGCGACAAGTGTATTGGCTTGGGCATGAATACAAGGCGTGTTTCGCACTGAGACAATTAATGCACCTTTGGTGCTGTTTGATGAACTCCATGCGTTGACTCGGACTTTTCTTAACGAATTGCGGACACTTACTCAAATAATGACTCGCCTACAAATCGGACACGAGACTGGAGACGTGGTGGCGGCGTTCACGGAGGCGGATCTTGACGGACGCGTGGGCTTAGCCGCGTTATGAGGCGTGAGTTCTTCCAGGACTCGCACGCGCGCGGAAATAAATCTATCTAAGTCCTCGAATGTTGGAATCGCGGCATCGTCGCCTCCTTTCAGTCGCCACGCCTTGTGCGTGGCGTGATCAAGTCGCTGAGTCACGAGATGAACTAGGACATCACTCAAAATTTCGTCTGACGACCGGTGGAGATTTCGAAGCAACGCGATAGCTGGATTGGCTTATATCCTGTAGTTTGCTAAGCTCGACGGCCGATTCGCGGTGACGGACCGGCAGGTTGCATAGCGCGGAGACATGCACGCCGACCAGTCGCCGTTTGTTATCGTAGCGCGAGACTAGCAATCGCCAAGCAACGTCAAAATTGTCGGCGGTGACTGGGACAGTTCGTATCGATTCCAGAGCACGCCCGGAGAGACTAGACGCTAAGTAATGCATGCGTGAAAATGCAGTAACTCTGTATTTTTAATTATGAGCGACGTGAATCGATCGCGAAAACTCTCCCAGTCCTCATGGGCTCCCGAGAACGGAGGTATATTGATAGACGGTAGGTGCGACAAGGAGAGTAACGCGGAGGGATTACCGAACGCCGGTGGA